AATTTTTTATTATTTAAAAAAATGACTAGACATGTGCAGATCAGATTAACAAATTAACATATTAATGAAGCCGTAAAAACACGATATATCTATAATATCTATATAATAGTAAAAGTTAATATTGTTAACATGTACATTTTAGCGATTGTATAAACCATCTAAAATAATTATATTTTGGTTTAGTATAAAATCTTGAATTTTTTTTCTTGCAATTGTAAAAAATGTGAATGAAAAAGGTAGAAAAAAGCGTAATGATTTCTATCATGGTTTTATTAAGTAATATATATAATAGCAATGCTAAATAATAGATATATCATTTTCCGGCATTAATATAATAACTAACTGTAAAATTCGGTTGTGATGGTGTATGCAGTAGCCCAGAGTAAATTGATTGGTTAAGATATTCTTTAGGCGATATTCCAAGATCTCGATCTGGCAACATATATGCATTAAGAGTCCACATAAAAGGGTATCGCAAGCGACGTTCACACTAGCACAGTGGAAGGTACTTATCATTTGCTGAGCGTAAGTTAAACAGTAAGTTATGTAAGACGAATAATCGTATGGTACCCATTCTCTATACGTTAATCTTTTGTGCCTAAAATCAGTGAATAACGACATCATGGCGATGAACGAGCATGTTGTTCCAATTAAGCTCGTGTAACGTAACGTGTTGTTCCTAGAAGATGATTGAAGAAATTGTTCTAAGCTTCGTAGAACATTAATTGTAAAGAAGATAAAGAATTTGAAATAATTGTACATTTATTCTTTGTGATAAATAATATACTACTATTTAATAATACTATAATTGAATTTGATTCCTTTAAATTAATTTATTATTAAATTATTTAAAATTTTATTAATACAAATTTGCTTTGCATTTTTGAAATATATTAAATTTTTTAAATAATAAATCTAAAAATAAATCTAAATTTTTAAATTACGTTAGAATTTGTAATATATTTTTAAAGAAATGTACTAATTATATGTACAAAATATTGAATTAAGGAAATATCTATAATGTTACATAAAAGATTGAAGATTATTTAATTAAGAATTATATTTACCATATTATTTTATCGTACTGCCGTCGAATTTTTATCTCATCCAAATTTAAGGGCTTAAATGGCACTTCATTGAGACAGTTAATTAACGCTGCAATCTTCTCATAATTTAACCACACGATAAACAACTTATAACATGCAGCAGATGAGGTTAACATCATGTTTAAATTATTAGTAAAATCGTCAGGATTGTCAACGTTTAGAACAATGTCCATAAATTGCGACATTGAAAAAAAAAAATAACATGCTAATTACATATACCCTGTAAATATTATAAATTGTCTGTTTAAACAGAGATGTCCACGAAAGTGGTCGAAAGCATCCAGTGATCATAATAATTTTACGCGTTAATTTCAAAATATCCATTATTATAGCTTCCTCGTTTAATTAGGAAATAAAGAAAATATATAATGTATAATTATATGTAATTGTATAACGTGTATTGCCATATATTTATGATATTGATTGATAGAAATCTTTGAACGATGTTCACACAACAATATATCTTCAACTTTAACTTAACAAAGTTTCTATCACGCAGTAAAAAGAATCAGATAACATTATTTCAAGAGGGTGCACCGTTAAATGTCTATAGACGTATGATGCGATTCTTCGACGGTGACGATATTTCTCGACGATATTTTTTCTTTTCTATTGCATATTTAATATCCCTATCTTTATAACATAAAACCTGCGATACAGCAATATCTATGTAAGGTAGCTCTAGTATAATGACTTCTACCTGCAACTTTTATTACACATGAGATGTATATTTTTATTATATTTCTTTTCTTCTAGATAGATAGCAAAATTGTAATATAATCAAGAGAGGAAGAAACAAATTCTTCAAAGTTCATTAATAATTCAATCGCTTTATATGTCACTTGTTGGTAGGGGCAAGTTTATTTCATTTATTATCGTATTCATCTAGAAGATAGAGATACCTCGCTCAGTATATTTATTGTTACAATATGATTACGCAAGAAGCACTTTAAAGTTATGCTTTATATAAAGCTGTAATTATAATCTTCGTAACTTCGTAATATTTCAAAATATATTATTTCTCGTTACACAAAGTATATTATTTATTAGACCCACATCGTAATTAAACAAAAGAATAACAATACAAGGTATGCACTTATATAAGGCTGGAGAGTCAGGCAGGAAATATAATTAATGGTTTTAATAATATCTTGAAATTTTTATGATACATTTTTTATATTTGCAATGATGTTTTTTCGAATAGACTGTGTCGAATAGTATGTGTATGACATCTTTACGATTTTCCCAGTATCGTCCTGCATATGAAAATATTAAAACAAACGGTATTTGAAACGTTATTTGAAAAAAAAAATATTTTAAGATTTATTACATATTTTAAATATATTTTAGTATAAAAAAAACATTTGTTGAAAAAATTAATTGTTATCAATGCCTAGAATAATTTAGTCTTATGTTAATGCAAGAATTTTCTGCACTTGTTTACTTGTTAACAATATTTAATATTTACTAATAATTAATTGACGTACATCTAGTATTGGTGCTTTTTTCAAGGGACTTAATAAATATCTTCTACTTATCTTTGTATCCACTTTCATATCGTTATTCCTGTATTTTTACTAGCAAGTTGTAAGCAGAATACGACGTTTTAAGCAACTGCAATAATTATAAATATATTTAATCTTTTTTAAAATCTTTGAAAAAGATTATCCAAAGTTGAAATTTATATAAATTTTAGTACTATATTACATAATTATCAACCATGGTAAATGTTACATATAAATAATGACCAATATTTATTTTGAAAAACTTATTACTAAAATCTTGACCAAAAGATAAAAGATAAAAATTTTATTAGTTAAAGAAATTAAATTTTATAACATACTATGTTTTATACTGACCGCTACAAAAGAGTCTAGGTTCATGTTAAGAATGTGTGCAGTGTGTGTAAACTCAATAGGTCTCATCGCGCGATTCATAATTATCAAAAGGCTTCTTTTAGTTTTATTATCCAACGCTATCCATTCTGTTTCGAAAATATTATCGACTAATTGAAAGCTCTATAAATTCATATATTTTAACATACAAAATGTTTTGCTTTCAGGTTCTTTGTAAAAAAAACGTGTAATAATCTAGACAATACGCATGTCTTTATGACGTCTTTTTAGTCATGCGGATTGTCTGGGAATGTAATTCTCATATATGTACAGGGAGTATCAGACCATCTGTCCCATTCAACTTTTTCCGTAAACGCGAGGCGACAGGTAGTTGGAGAGAGATGTTAACCCTTAAACCCTGTTCGAGGAATCAAATGAATGCATTTCTGTTTACTGAAATTAACCGGAGGTAATAGCAACTGGAGTCAATTTTGAAATCTCCAACATAGGAACATATGTCGTGTAGAGTATTGTTCAATAAAGCTTAAAAAAAGAAACATCATCTTTTATTTAAACATAATCGCAGTATTTCCAATCGTCGAGGAGAAACGACTGGAAAATTGAGAGGTGATGGTGTCGAAATTATAATACAAAGTTTCGTATGGTTTTCTCCAACTTCTTGTCACCTTGCGCTTATGGGAAATGGGTGGGACGGGTGGTCTGATGCACCTTGTACATATATACACATATATAAATATATGCATACCATTAGTTTGAGTTTATTTCCAAACCAACAATAGATGAAAATTTCTGCAAGTACACACGATGTATATGAGAATAAACCAATGAAATTAGCGTTAAATTTATTTCTAGATAGTTGGTACAAATTTGAGCACATTATGAATGTACTTGCTACGAATTGAAATGCGATTATCTTCGTGAATTTCGCGTTGGTCGCGTATGCGTATCTGCAAACAGAATATTTTTATACTGAGCATTATAATTAATTGTGTTGGATAAATTGAAAGACATAAATAATTGTTACATGCCATTTAACATGTTAAAAATAAAAAATAATTTTGATATACGACTTTTGGAACATAGGCGATTTCGGAAATTTTAACCATATAATGTATTAAAATAACATGTATTAAGAAAATGTATTAGGATGGTGTATTAAGATAGACTTAACATCGCAAATCAGTAACAAATTTATTATGAAATATATCTGCATAAATATAAGAATAAACAGAATAAATAGAATTAATACTATAATAGAATATCCTTTTTAATTAATTTAAAAACATATTTCATGTAAATAAAAAAACTTTAAGATATATTACCAAATTAAAAAATTATAGAATATTCCAAGATTAAGTCTAACAAGATTATCACAAGACTAACTCGATTATGTGATGATGATGGCGTACACAGTCGCTGAGAGTATAGTGCCCATATATGATACCTTTCAAGCGAGATTCTAATATCGTAATCTGACAGCATAGATGCAGTAGCAAACCGACAATGAGACAGTCACAAGCAACGTTAATAATGCACGAAGCCACTCCGCCTACGATTTGATGAGCATATGTGAGAGAAAACATCACGAACGACGAGTAATCATATGGTATCCATCCTCCGAATGTTAACTGCCTCTTTCTGAAATTCGTCAGTAATGATACCAAGATCTGAAATGCGCAACTGACTGCAACCAACATAGCATAACACATTGCGTTATTTCTAGAAAAAATAAGAAAGTGATTACGCCTTTATCTCGTAAGACGAAAATGTCTTTTACTTTGGTAGAAAAACAATATTTTCTACATGTAATCAAAGTTATGCAACTAATATATAAAATATAAATAATTTTAAACGTATATAGATATAATTCTGTTAATAATACAGAATTCTGTTAATAATATCTATTAACCCCTATTAGCTTCTCACACTTCCAAATTTTTACGGGTTTCCCACATTGGGGTACAGGCTACTCCACGTCGTATATTTAGCTAAAACTATATGAAAAAATCAACTAATTTTAAGTCACTTTTTTCCATCGATACGCCAGACATTAAGGAATATGCCTATGAATAAGAAAATATGAAAAATACAGTAGTTTTGAAAATATTCGTTTGTAAAGAAAAGGTAAATTCTCGAAGTAGCAAACTAGAGAATTTTACCTGAGGTTACAGGCACCCCAGTGTGGGAAGCTAGGGTTAATAATATTAAGAGTGATATCTATAAAAAGTCTTTGGGAAAAATGCTGTAATGATTTTCTAAACATTTCGTTAGATAAAAGATTACAATATTTATAAAATTAATATTCAAATGGCTCCGAGAGGATTAAAATTCAGTATGAAGAATAGTCTTATTATTTTTAATAGACAAATATTATTCTAGCCATAGTAAACGCCGACAAATCGTCAGAAACACAATTCTGGTTGAAGTAGTAAAATCCCTCCCCCCCCCAATTTAATTTATAAAATTAATATTATAATCTACATATCTGCCAAATTTTATAATTATTTACACAATTCTTACAAATCAAGTACCGTAAATAAAAAAATGATTTTTTTTTTTACTTACTGTATTACTTTGTCGAATTTACGTCGAATTTCGATTTCGACAGGTACTAGTGGCTTAAATGTTCCTTCCGTAAGATTCTGAATTAATTCCGCTAAACTCTTATGATTCACCCATAGATCTAGTATTTTGTAGCACGAAGAGAACAGGGTCAACATCAGATACACAACGTTAGTAAAATCGTCCGGATTGTTGACATTTAGGACAAAATCCATAAACTGCGTGAGTGTGTAGCTGTACAGTAGGCTAATTATTAATAATGAATACGCGTTGTATAATGTATGTTTGATCAGCGACGTCCACGAGAACGGTCGCCAGCATCCAGCGATTGCGAGAATTGCGAGTGTAAATTTCAACGCGTCCATGTTCTCTAAACGAAATATATTCTTTAAATTCGTCCGTATAAAAAAACGTGTCCTTTTTCTTGAAAAAATTTTTCAAAATTGCATTAACCCAATATGTACATGATCAACTATGCATGTGATTTATTGAGATGCTCTTCGTGTACTGTTTTGATATACGTTGCGTGATAATATTGTTGTTATGCATCAATGACAAATCAGCTGAGGAGGGAGACTTTACAGCATCTATAGCTCGTGCGACGCGACATTTGTTATTTTTCCCTCGAATAAGTAACATTATTATTATATTATCTAGCAACGTATACTGATATTTTCAGCGAATTGAAATTTCCCGAGAATTCCAATCCCATATTTATGTATTGCAATATGCGTAGACAAGAGTTTAGATGTATGAGAACTTGATACATTGATGTACTTATCCATTATAAAATATCTTATTCATTATTGTCGCTGTCAGCGACTTCAGTTTTCCTCAGTCCGGTATTCCCTATCTTTTTCTCGGTGTCTATATCGAGCAGCGTATCTATGCATTTTTTATTAAGTATAAACGTGGAAAGCAAGGTATATATCTTGAATTTATTCATTTTTGCAATGTGACACACATCAGAGCAAATAGGGGAAACCGAAGCAAGTTACAGGAATAAATTTACACATTGTTTATATTTGGCTATTTCCCAATAAATTGCAGAATCCAGCAAGTAGGGAGTGCAAAACCATCTTTGACACATATGACGTAAGTTGCATTTTATCATGAGCAACAGTTATGAAATAATGGCATTAAATTGCATTTTTAATAGTGGAAGTAAATTCTCATAATCTCGTAATTTCATTTACCTATTGATAATTGTAGGATTTCGTTAGTTGCTATCACAGTTTTGTCACGAAGGATATTGTACTCTCGAATTATATTAAAGATAGGCACAAATGCTGTATAGAAAAGAACCAAAAAATAAAATGTAAAAAGTGTGTCATCTTGCCTCGGTCTGCCCTAATGTTTGGACTAAATGGAAACGATAATCGAAGTAATCTGTTCTTCCATGGTCATTTTTGTAAGATTTCTTAACTTTATAATACACAACAGAAATATATAGATAATATCTGGAAAAGATATAATATTATCTCATTTCTGCTATAAATTATTATTCTCTGTACTCTCTTATGATAAAATATTAATTTTTTTAAAGTACATTGTTACCAAATTTTAACTCGACATTTACTTATACACTAAATATTATTTATCAAATTATTATATTTCACATACAATTTTCTTAGCGCTGGTTTTATACCCGTTGCAGTAAAGTGTATGTTGAATATGATATTCTAAGTACCTGCAACACATAAGTGCATATGAAATTGTTTTAATGGCGTTAACGATAATTTAACAATAAAAAAAACTTTATCAATAATAGTGCAATGTGACTTAGACTCCGTGTACTTAATTACATTGTTACTGTTGAGCAGACATACGTGTGAATTAAGATTAACATGTATAACACCAAAGAAAGAAAAAATACGCGAAAGACATTTTATTAATATAATTGGCTGCAAATATAATAAATTTACCCCTACGAAGGATTCAAGATTCATGGAAAAGAGATATGCGCTAGTAAATTCGATAGGAATCGTTGCTCGATTCATAATCATCAAAAGAGCTTTTTTAAAGCTGTCGTTCAATTCCGGCCAATCCATTTCAAAAACATGATCAATTATCTGAAGACTCTATAAATAGATAATAAAACATTAAAATAATATTTATGCACAGTATAGTCATGATTAAGAAATATTGAAATAATATAACTATTAATAAAATATGAATTGCACACGTACTTTTAATTTGACTTCATTTCCAAACCAACAGTAAATAAAAATTTCTATCATCATGCAGACAGTGTATAATACTAACGGAAGATATTTCGCACTTAATGTTGTCTGGGCCAGTTGATACAAATTGGAACATACCACCAGCATACTTGTTATAAACTGAATAGCGATTATCTTCGCAAATCTTTCATTCACCACGGAAGCAAAGCTGCAATTCAGTAGATAGTTTATTTTGCAAGTGAAGTAATTGTCCATTCTTAATTATAATAAAATAATTTTAATTTCTTTATTCTTAAATATATGTTAACACCAATGTGGCAAAAAATTGCCCACTTTTGTTAGATCATGTTTTCTCCGATCACTAATAACGAATCTCAATTTCAAAGAAAATTAAATTAAAGCATTAATTGCATATTAATTACATAATTCCATTAAATAATGTACATTAGAAAATTTAATTTCCAAAATATGTTGGGGACATAATATGGAAAAATTTTAAAGATTGAAAGTTGCGAATTAAAATATCTCATAGATGCGAATCAGATCAATTCTTGTCCATGATTTGCAACAATTAAAACCCGTACGAAACTGACTCATATATAAGGTCATGATGACGTACGCAGTCGCGCAAGTTTTTCCAGGTATGTGATTTGTTCAGTCGGTATTCCAATATCTCGATCTGACAGCAAACGTGCAGCAAGAGACCGCAGATGAAGCAATCGCAGGCGAGATTGACCAGAGCGCATGTTGCCATACTTATTAACTGATGAGTGTATACGAGGGAGAATAACGCCGAAGAGGAGTAGTTGAACGGCAGCCAGGCTTTGTACGTTAGGTCCCCCGTTCTGAAGTTCGTGAACAAAGAAGTCAGAGCGATGCACACGCATGTCGATTCAACCAAAACGAAGCAAAATAAAGTGTTGTTCCTGCAAAACAATTTAAAAATTTGTTACAAAACTGGTCTACGTCTTCATTTCTTTTTATCCGTTCCAAATGCGGTTGATATTTACTTCAAGAATTCGAACCACTCGCACATTATTATTCTCTTTCAACAATTTTATTCTAATTCTACTAATGTTGGTTTACTATTGCATCACTTCCACGAATAAAATTCATAAAACACTTTCTGCGGATAAACACGTATTATAAGAAATATAATTAAATATAATATTTACCGTATTATTTTGTCAAAATTTTGGCGGATTTTTAGTTCGCCGGGTATCTCCGGTCTAAATGATGTTTCGGTAAGAGTATTAATAATGTCCGCTACATTCTTACGATTCAGCCACAAACTGGATATCTTAAAGATCCCGATGCACACAGCCATCATTATGTACAAAATGCTAGTAAATTCCTCTGGATTTCCGGCATTCAGAACCATGGCCACAAATTGAGAAATCGCAAACGTATACAATAGAAGAATCACAAGAAACGTATAAATGTTATAAATTGTATGTTTGTATGAGGATATCCACGACAACGGTCGCCAGCATCCAGCAACCGTCATTAATGCGAGCGTATGCTTTAACAAATCTGTTTTATCTTCCGTTTTATCATATCGAACGTGATTCTTTTCGACACTAGATTCACCGGAAATTAACATTTCTCTACAATTATTACACAATTTGGATACAAAAAAAAAGAAAGCTTTCTATAAAGCTACAAAAAGCTGATCCTCTATACACATCAATAGCATATATAAATAACATTAAATTCTAATAAATTTGAAGATTACAGAAATACACGAAGAAGCTTATTATTGTAACTTACGAAAAATTGAATATTGCATTAAATCTTTTTATAAAATAAATTTACGGAGGTTCTATAGAAACTAGCATAAATTCCGGTCGCGTAGTAGATAATAACGGGTAAGATTTTCTACGATACTGACAACCTTGAAATTTCCATAGACATTGTCTATAGAAAATGTTTTCCGTCTACAGACCCCTATTCGGCATTTATGTCATTATTATAATGTAGAAATTAGCAATGTCGCATCTACTGATAGAATATTTTTATTTCAGGTTGAGTCTCCGGCGGTAAATTTTTCAAATGCAAACTTTATGCGACAATAATATAATGTGATATTATTATCATACGAAAGTCGAGATATTGAGATAAAACGATAGATATACGGAGGGGCTTCGCTATCCGCTTATAGACCATCGATGATTTGCCTCCATGTAATTTTGATGAAGGTAAATTCTCATCCGTCTAAAAGTTACTTTATTTTACTATTACTATCAGTGTCTGTTCAGTATTGTCTCGCGCTACTTCCAGTTGCAATTTATTCTGCTCCTCGCATCGATTTCCACATTTGCATATTTTGAGCGAAGATAAGTGCAAATAGAAACATGTATACCTGCCTAAATATAATCAACCGTTAAACAAATCTATCTACATTTTACCAATTATCTTCACTGATATACTATTCTTCTTTTATTTTTTTTTCGTGTTTACAAGATTGTATGTTATGCATTATTAACTGTTATTCTAATTTATTTAACGATTTATCTTTGGAGATCTTGCAGTTTTTGAGATATCTGCATTGTAACTTTTTTATTAATGAAATTTGATTATATTTGAGTATATTTAATCTCAGTCTTCGATTTTGATGATAAATATTTGATGAGAAATGTGAGTGATGGGTAATACAAGAAATACAAATAAATAATATTTTCTTTATTTATATATGTAATATATGCGATATATGCAACTGCGCAGACAGGAGACTACGATTACCATCCAAGGTATTTTCATACTTATTGTCCAATGTTTCTTAACATATGCACTGCACATATTTTAAATACTATTTGTTCTTCTTCCTTTAGTAGCATTTATCATCACTATTCTTTTTGTGTTTGTTTAAGTCGCTTTAAGTATATTGTATACTGAATATGACATTTTAAGCAACTAAAGAATATATTAATGTTTATGTAACAATTTTTAACTCAATCCGCTATTGCAGCTATATATCTCAAAGTATAATAAATTTATCCCTAACCTTCACGAAAGAATCTAGATTCACTGAAATGTGTGCACTAGAAAATTCGATGGGCATCAGAGAGCGATTCATAATTATTATAAGATTCTCTTTTACTTTCTTGTCTGCTGTAACCCAATCCATTCCAAAAATTTTATCGGAGAATTGAATGCTCTATAATAGAAGTTGTCAGAAGAATATGATTTTAATTTGACATTTTTTGTTGCAGTAAATAATGTTTAAATGTATATATCAACATAACGTTAAGCTTAAATTAAAACATTTTGTTTTAGTTTATTATTATTAATCCTGAAATTAATAATAATAAACCATTCTGGGATTTTGTGTGTGTGTGTGTGTGTGTTATCATTATTTTTAAATACATTCACAAAACGCGTTCAGTATGTATGCTGTACGCATTTACTTATATTACTCGTTATATTACCTTTAATTTTACTTCGTTTCCGTACCAAGAATAGATAAAAATTTGCATACACATACAGATTGTGTACATCATCAGTGGAACATATTTTACGCTTAATGTGGTTTTTGCCAATCGATAAAGATTGGAGCATACCACTAGCATGCTCGCTATGAATTGGACGGCAATTATAACCCTGAACTTTTCATTCATTGTGTATGCAAACCTAGAGAAAAAACAATATAATTGTTTATCTTTAAAATTATTATTACTTATGATTAAAAAACATTATCTTTAAAATTATTATTGCTTATAATTAAACATTACCATATACCATATTCTCGATTGAACTAAACAATCTTTATCTGATTAATAAAGAAAATTTCACATACGTATATGTTTGCAAAATATAAAGAAATATTAAAATAATTAAAATTAGTAATATATATATGTATGCCCTACGTTGCGTGCTTTGTATCTTAAAATCAATTTAAAAAAAATCTAAACGCATAAAATTGTACAAAGACTAACTTATAGATATGATCGTGCTGACGTACACATTCACCCAACTCGCTTTGATTGCGCAAGGCTTTCTTCATACGGCATTCTAAGATCTCGATCTGGCAATAAATATGCAGCAGAAATCCACAAATAATTATATCACAAGCAACATTCACGATGGACGCAACCGTCAAGCTTATTAATTGGCGAAAGTACGTGAAATAATACACTGTATCGGAGCACTCATAGGGTATCCACTCCCTATACGCTAAATTTCCTTTCCGAAAGTCCGTAAACAAAGATGTCAAATTCATGCATCCGCATGTCATCTCAACCAAAATTGTGTAGATTATAGAATAGGTCCTGCAAAATTACTGTGGAGGCTGGACTAATTCGTGATGTCTTTGTTTTGTATTTCTCTCCTTTAATTAAAAAGAAAAAATAATATATTCTCTACTTCTTTCGAATGGCAAAAGATCTCTATTTATCTAGTATTTATTTATTCTTTGTTTTATTAATAAAAGTATTTGCCATTTTATCAATTAAATTAAGAAATTATCTACAATACAAAGTAATTATAGATAATATATAAATAGATGATAATATATTAAAGATATAATATTATACAAAACTAATATATATATAGAGAGAGAGAGAATTGTTGAAACGATCAAATTAAAACATGCGGATTCTTTTTTTATTCCTTAAATGTTTCAACTTCTTACCGTACTTTGTTATCATATTTTTGTCGAATCTCAATTTCGTCTGGTTCCAAAGGTTTAAACGGTTTCTCAACCAACGCGTCGGTTAACATTTCAATATTTTTACGATTTAGCAACAGGCTGAATATCTTGCAAGAAGCGATGATCATGGCCAGCATTATATAAAAGGTATCCGTGAAATCGTCGGGATTATTGACATTCAGGATAATGTCCATAAGTTGCGGTAACATGAAGGTAAGCAATAATAAACACATAAGAATTGTGTATACATTGTACATGGTACGTTTACATAATGAGGTCCAGGAGATTGGTCGCCGACATCCCACCGCTGTGAGGACTTTTAATGGAAATTCCATAATTTGCAATTCTCGAAATATTTTTCACTCGATCTCTAGTTTAAGACAAAACATTTGTTATATTGCTCACTATTACACATTACTGCATATTTTTTGTAACTTATCCAAGAGGCATAATTGTGTGATATAATTATGCAAAAAACATTATATATAAAATTAAAATTTACGAACTAAAACAGATTTAAAAAATAAGTTATTTTTACTTACAAAATTGTATTTTATAATTACAGTTTCATACGTACATAGAAAAATTGCAGTAACACAGTAAAAATTAAAATTTGCTTTTATTTTTTAATTTTACTGTTATTATTAATAAACATAATATTAATAATCATGAGGTGTTTTATGCTTAATCGATATTGAAACAAGCGAAATAGCAGAATTGCATTTTATCCATTAACTTTAGATAATATAATGTTCAATAACTCAGTAAGTCATTTACTTACTCAAATAAGAAATATAAAATAGTGTTTTGTAAAGTTTGCACATTGATTTTAAAGCAATTTTGCAAACTTTAACGAATTTTACAATGTCGAATCTATTATAAACACGCAATACTATAACCGTCTGCATTCATTGTTCGCCTCTTTGTAGAACCTTCGTAGACTACTGCACATGTCATCATAATAATTATAGGTGTACCGAACTCGTCATATATTCCGATCGGTAATAATATACTTTTGTAAAATAATATGTATAGCTGTGTCTTTTTTGCGGCCTTCATATAACGACTTATAAACGAAATAAACAGAAATAACGTGGGAGAAACAAAAGCTTGATAGACCATAAATTATGGTGTGTCACCATGAAATTTTAATGCAGCTGTTCTATACTTACGTAGAAAAAATATGGAATTTGTTATTGTGTCGCCAGCTCCGCCTCACATCCGGCTGTCATCGTTCTGCTGCTAATATTGATCTATTCATATTTCTGACAGGGTACGAACGGTTCAAAGAACTCATCAAATATACATGTACACTTGTCCCTCGATTTACGAGATACTGCACATACGTGGTTTTTCTATATACGGTAAATAGTCCCTTCGTTTACGCGGTACTTTTTATACCTACGCGGTCTGAGTTTTACTACAATCTCAAGTACGCGGTCAGAACGTATATCTTTTTATGATGTTTATTGACATTCTTATGTTTGCAACGAGTGTACAAAAACATTAACGATAATACATTCAGTCGCTATACTGAGCTAGCGAAATACTACATTCCGCAAAATTGCACTTTATTTATTAACTTCAGAAAATAAGTATTATATTCAAGTATTACACGCAGAAAAATATATACTACCCTCAAGTAAATATTACTTGTTCTAAATATTTGATAAGTTCATATATCCGCAAATCCACCATAAAGTCATCGCAAGCATCACATTTACTCAAAACATATTCTAGATATTAGTAAGTCTAGTACTTGAAATAAGAATATTTAATTAATACAAGAATTCGGATTACTTACTATATACAGTCTACTGAAGAGAAGTATTATAATATTCTTGAAAGAAGAATGGATTCTTGTTTTGAGCACAAAATTATGAGCTTTTTTAAGATTTATGCTAAGTATATATCTTAAAGCTATTATTAAGATAATATTCTCTATTGAAGAAACCTATTACTTAAAATAAATAAAATAAGTAATTGCTTTTTTTGACTGTAGAGTGATATTTTTCTGTGTGTATATACGGTATATCAGACTACTCGTCCCACTCCATATACGCAGGGTAACAAGAAGTTGAAGAGAAATGTTAAGTTCCAAATCCTATCCGAAGAATTGAATGAAAGTATTTTTGTGTACTGGAACTGACCGGAAGTAATGGCAACTGTGATCAACGTTGAAATCTCAAATGGGAACATATGTCGTGAAAAATATCGTTGAATAGAGATTGAAAAAAAAAAACATCTTTTATTAGACCCTACAAGTGTTCAAAGTGTTTTCCATTTTGATTCAAACAATTCGATGCCTCGGGATACTACAGATCAGCGTTTTCCTGAAAGATGGATTGGCAGAAGAGGTCCTGTAGCTTGGCCGATCTCCTAATTTGACATCCATGGATTATTTTTTATGAGAACGAGAGTAAAAAACATGGTTTACCCAGCAACATCCAACGACAAGAGAGAACATGAAAGAGCGCATTCGAGAAGCATGCCGATCGCTGAGTGATGCAGAAGCTCTTCGAGATATAGATGACGTCAGAGAGAGTATCCACTTTTGTTTGAATCAAAACGGAAGGCTTTAAACATTTGTAGGGTTTGTAATACAAGATACTTCTTTTTTCGAATACAAAACTTTGAGTTACTTCGATACAATCACTTTTCAATTTTCCAGTAATTTCTCCTCAACGGCTGGAGGTACTGCGATGGTGTTTCAATAAAAATTGTTTCTTTTTTTTTTCAAGCTCCATGCAACGATATCCCATAGATATAATCCCATTTAAGATTTCAAAGTTGACTCCAGTTGCCTCTACTTCTGA